GATGTTTCTAAATTTTATGGAACATATTTCCTCCACAACAGCCGAAGTTTATGTTAATCTGTATAACACCTATAATTAAAGTAGTTATCATGAACAAGTACTCTGACTCTTCTTTTTTCATTTTAAGAAGAAATAGGGCTGGAGTTGTGGCTCAGTGGTGTGGTAGCGTGCTCGCCTAGCAAGCACGAGGCCCTGGGTTCGATCCTCAGCCACATAAAAACAAACAGATAAAGGTATTGTGTCCAACTACAACTAAAAAATAAATATTTAAAAAGAAAAGAAAAAAAATAGTTCATCATAGAGTAGTCACTTTCCATTGACCCAGTTTTAAGAGATTTGGAAGATTTTTAAATGGAGTTTAGGGGCTGAGGATGTGGCTTAGTGGTAGAGTGCTTACATAACATTTGTGTTGAATCCCAATACCACAAAATAATAAATGGAGTTTAGTTCCAAATCAGAACTAAACTCCATTTATTCTGATCAGATTTGGAAAACTTCAGCCCATGGACCAACTCTGGCCCACTGTCAATAAAGTTTTATTGAAACACAGCCACTTTCATTTGTTTATATGGCTGCTTTCATACTACAACAGCAGGGTCAAGTAGTTATGACAGAGCTTATAGCATGCAAGGCCTAAAATAGTTAATATCTGGCCCTTTTCAGAAAAGGATTGCCAGCTTCTGTTCTCATGTAAAATAAGCCAGATTATAAAGGGTTTTGTGAATCATAGATCATTTTAACTTGATTCCTTAAGTATGGGGAATTCAGTAAAAGGGTTTTAATTGGAATAATGGTCAGGTTTGTATTTCTGAGTGCCGCGTCCGGCTAACGGAGCCAGAGGCCTTGTTTACATATTTTTGTGAAAAACTAGTAAGGAGGTGTCTAGCTTTTGGAGTGCTGATTTTTTCCAGACAGTAGCCAAGTAAAACAGGGCAATATGAAAATAGGAAGTTTATCTACATTAAACTTTTTTGTAGGGATTTTTTTTTTTTTTTTCTGATAGTCCTAACACCAGCCATGGTGAATATTTCTGGAGAAGGCCAGTTAAGACTTTTCTGTGGGCCTGGGTAGGGAGGGGGAAGACGGGAATGAATATCCTAAAAAGCCTATAAGGGACTTTAATCCTTAGTAACCTGTTTTCAGTGATGACAAAGCAACTATAAAGGGCTTTTTTTTTTTTTTTTTTTTTTATTAAGAGAGAGAGAGAGAGAATTTTTAATATTTATTTTTTAGTTTTTGGCGGACACAACAGCCCTGCGAAGCTGTTGCCAAATTAAATCCCAATCATTGTTATTGAGAAAGCCTCCTGTCAGAAACCAAGGACAAGCCTGGGCTATAACTTCAAAGAATTCGGTTGCAGTCTTAGTTTTTATTACCCATGGTACGTACCCTGTCTCTTTAAATTACCTTTAAACCAATCCTCCCCCTTCTACCTTTAGAAGGTGAGCCCCGTCCGCTTACCCCTACTTTCCGGATCTCGGTGGGAACCTCCAGATGCAGCGTCAGGACACCAAGGTTCTTCATCCAGGAGGGGGCATGTGCGCCCGCGCTTTATTGCCAAATTTGTTCCCCTTATATATCTTTTTAACAGCTGCGGGAAATTACTCAAAAGTGAGGAGGGAAGAGTAATAACTGCGTCCTTGGGTTACCGTCACGTCACTGTCCCCTATCAGGAGCCTAGAACAGGTCAAGATGTTCCCGAGACACATATGTGCGAGGCAGATAAACAGGGAACCGCAAGCCTGCGTCATGGCCTTGTGAGCTGGCCACATTGAAATGCATAACAAAGAACTGGGGGTTGAGTCCCCAGGGGCCAGGGCGGGCCTACTATCAGCATCTGAGCTCCCTTTGCAACAATATATAGGGTGGTTTGGAAGGAAGACACTTAAGGCAAGCACAGTTAAACATCTTATACTGCACAGGAGTGTGCTCTTAGGTGAATCATCCTGGACAAAGTGAGCTCAGCTAGCACAGCCTACAGTGGAGCTTGACACAGTCAGAAGTAAAAAGCACCTTTCTGGAAGGAGGTGGTTCTTTATAGTCAAATCCAAATGTTTGCCAGGCACAGTGGAGCACACCTGTAATCCCAGCAACTTTGAGACTGAGGCAGAAGGATCACAAATTCTAAGCCTCCACAATTTAGCGAAACCCTGTCTCAAAAAATAAAAAGGGGTCTGGGGTTATAGCTCAGTAATAGAGCATTTGCCTCACATGTGTGAGGCACTGGTTTGATTCTCAGCACGGCATATAAATAGGTCCATTGACAACTAAAAAAATATTTTTAAAAAATAAATAAAAGTTGTAAACTGCCCCTGGGTTTTAAAGTCCCCAGTACCACCACCACCCCGGCCCCCAAAAAAATTCTAAAAAGCTTGTCCAAAAAGCTGAAATTTTATAATCAGTACTTTGGGGAACATTAGTAAAATTGTATACATGATTTCAAAGCAGAAGTTTTCTGGGAAAAATAAAGTTATTCTATTTACTTGAGTATCACTTGTAAAAAGTAAGACATTGGAGAAAGTGCTTTTGAAATAATAAAGAGATGTACAAATACAAGGTATTTTTTCTTTATTGCTACTGCAATAAATAGATTTACAGTTCTTGCTCAGCCTCATCAGTGGTTGGCAGGCGTAACAGTGAGGTACTCATCCCGAGGGACTCCTGCTACCTCAGTTAAGGACTAAAGCAAATACATAGGGGAAGGTGGGAGAAAAATCAGTCTATTACAATCTGATAATTTCTCATATACCAGGTTCTTTTGATTCATCTTGTTTCATTTTTGTAACTTTGTGAGGTAAGTTGTCCCCATTTTATGCATGAGGTTACTTAGGCTCCAGTGGGTGAATAATGCCTGAGGTCACAGGGTGGATGACTGCCAAGTGGAGGGAAGTGAACTTTGGTCATAGGCTAACACCTCTGCTCTTCTGTGTCATACTAGACTAACTTTGTCTACTCCCTCATGAACCACTGGCCACCACCCTGAGCTGGTAAGAGGATTAAATGGAGTTGTGAATAGCAACACATCCTAAAGGTGAGCCAAGGACTGGAGGTCACAAATTGATGCTCAGAGGGAGGTAGGGAAGCATCCCAGAGACACAAGTCGCCTTCACTTCAGCTGCAGGTCCAAGTGTTTCTGGAATCAGGGCTGACACACTGCTGCAAGTCCTCATCACAGTCTGCATTCTCTCGTGTAAAGTGATCTGTGGAGTGCAGGAAATTTTAAAGAACCAAATGAGTCTAAATTCAACAAGGCACTGTGATATACCTATTAAAATAGGAAGAGCAAGGGAAAAAAGTTTTGTCACTGCTGCTGGAAAACTGGCAACACTTCAGCTGTGAAGAAGAACCAGATTCTCAGCTGGGATCACTCGTCTGGTTTTTCCTCTACATTTAGTGGAAACTGAGATGCAGAAAGGTCAAATAGGTTCTCTAGGATATTACAAAAGAAAATGGCAGAGCCAAGAAAAGAGCCCAGATTTTTCAATATCTGCCAAACCATACTTTGTCCATGAATGAAAATGAGGTTAAGGTATGTTGAAATACTGTAGTATAGAATAGCTGCTGTGGCCTTTATGACTATTTGGTTGGTCAAGAAGTTGGATTTTACTGGGTGTGGTGGCTCACACCTTTAATCCCTATGGCTCAAGAGACTGAGGCAGGAGGCTCACGAGTTCAAAGCCAGCCTCAGCAAAAGTGAGGTGCTAAGCAACTCAGTGAAACCCATCTCTGAATAAAATACAAAACAGTGCTGGGGATGTGGCTCAGAGGCCAAATGTCCCTGAGTTCAATCCCCAGTAGAAAAAAAAAGAAGTTGGATTTCTACCAGGTCTTCCATCTCCAATTCTCTTCTGCAATCTACGTCCTAAGGAGCACAGAAAATCCATCAATGTAGAGAAAAGAATGAGACTACAGGGCTGGGATTGTAGCTCAGTGGTGGAGCACTTGCCTAGCACATTTGAGGCACTAGGTTCAATCCTCAGCACCGCATAAAATAAATAAAAGTATTGTGTTCATCTACAACTAAAACTATTTTTCAAAGTAATGATAATTTATTAGATAGTTAATATACAAGTGATTTAAGTAGTACTCAAATGCCAGTTGTTATTTTTTATTACTATCATGATGCAGTGAAGAAACTGAAACACAAAGAAGTGAAGTGGCTTTCCGAAGGTCTCAGCTCAGTGGTAGAAGCAGGACATGAACCCAGAGCTCAGCTCTTCTGAGGCCCCCTGGCTGTTGATCCAGTTCAATTTAATTCAAGAAGAAACTCTGGAAGGCAGCCAAGAAAATCTCAAGGAGAGAGAAAAGCAGCATTGAAGTTGACCGTTGGGTTTGAAGTGGAGAAACGAAAACAGCTGGGAAAGTACCTGGAAAGAATTCTCTATAGACTTTGTGGGTAAGGAGGGCATGTCTATTCTCCATCATTACAGAGTGGGAGAGAGTAGGTATAATGGAAAGAGCACTCAGCTCAAAGCTGAGGTCAGGCTTGCTTTTATCTTATTTTTTTTTTTATATTGAAATAGGGTCTCACAAGTTGCCAAGGCTGGCTTCAAACTTGGGATCCTCCTGCCTCAGCCTTCCGAATCACTGGGATTGCAGGCATGTGCCACTGTGCCTAGCTTTAATCACATACTTAAAGAAGTTGACAACGAGAACATTCATACAGGTATAAGCATTCACATACTTACCAATAAATGCACACAGACACAGACACATTTGTGCCCATGAGTTATGCACTCACAGGCCACTTTTTTCTTGTCTCCATAATAGTTCATTGCCATTACTCATCAATACTGAGTCAGAAGACTAGGAAGGTGAGCCCAGTCTTGAGCCTTCCCCAGGTGATTCCAATGGCCACCTGATGTGTGGTGACTCTGTCTGAGAGCCAACCTGCCCCTCTCTTGTTAGGTTGCACCACCACTCCCTCTTCCCCGGGAATATCCCCCCATGGACCCGGACCCTTTAGCATAGCCACCATTACCTTCCCTAGAGTTGGAGGCCTACAGGACCTGTCCCGTCATTTCCTGGTATTTTCTTGTCACTTCCTGAGCTTTCACAGTCAGGTGAGTAAGGATGCGATGGAGGCTGGAAAAGTGCACATGGAACTGGGTTTCCAGGTCCAGCTCCCCGGAGACCTCTTCCTTGGCCTCCTCTATCTCGGCAGCTTCCTTTCCAGCCTCATCCGCTTTGCGGCTGACCACCTTGGCCTGCCACTCCTCCCTAGGCAGGAGCCCATGTTCTACATCCATCCGGATGGTCTTGAGCATGGTGAAGTAGGTGTAGAGATCAGGGGCCCCCATCTGGGCCTGGCCACCATGTCCACCCAGTTGCACATCTCGCAGAAGGCTGGGGATCATCACCACCTGCTCCATGTTGCACACCACAGCCAAGTACCGGTCCACGACAGCCAAAAGGCAGTTTTTAGGGTAGCGCTTGGTTAGTACCGGCATGGTTGCCTGCTTTTACACAATGAGTTGGGAAGGCTGCCCCAGCACTATTTCTAGGCTCTGGTTCTGACCGCAGATTGACAGGAAGCCAAGGCCCAGTCATTGGGTCAACACAGCCCTGTTTTAAGCCAATCCCAGGGTTTGGGTCCCAAGGTCTGTATCAGGTGATCCACTGCCCAGGGACAGACCCGCCAGCCCTTTGTTTGTCATTTCAGTTCTACAAGACTGCCTCAGTAAGAGCCCAGCTCTTCCACTGGCAGCTTGCAGAACTAGTTAAAGCAAAGCTTTTCCCTTTGGCAACAGATGCACTTGACCGCAGGAAAGTCAATAATCCTTTCAGATCACCTGAGGTCAAACTGAGTCTTTGCTACCCTCTGAAAGCACAAAGCTTACTTCTTCAACCTGGAGTGACTGTGAAATGAACAAGGGAAGAGCGTCATGAAATGAAATAGTTTGGTGTGGGGCAAAGAGCACTGAAGTGGGAGCCAGAAGTCCAGAAAGAAGGGGTCTGGATGCTGGCCATGCTCATGTCCCTGGCAATCTTCCTTATAGAGGGTGCTTTTCTACCATGAACTTGACTAGGAACAAAACTCTTAATAAGATGCATTAGCCTGGTGTTACCTCAATCAGTCAGCAGGGTATAGAATTTGCATAAAATTGTTTCCTAAACTGTGAGCAGAAAACAGCAATTTTTCCAAGTTAATTAATTTTAAAAATTAATTTTAAGGGCTAGGGATGTAGGTCAGTAGTATAGTATTTGCCTAACATGTGAGGGCCTAGGTTTGATCATCAGTCACACCCCCTTACCTCCTCCCCCCAAAAAGAGTTTGACTACCTAAAGCTGGGCATGGTGGCTCATGCTGGTAATCCCAGCAATTTGGGAGGCTGAAGCAGGAGGATAGAAAGTCAAGGCCACCTGAGCAACTTGGTGAGATCTGGGCTGGGGCTGTAGCTCAGTGGTAGAGTGCCCGCCTCGCACGTGTGAGGCACTGGGTTTGATCCTCAGCACCACATAAAAATAAATAAAGATATTGTGTCCAACTACACCTAAAAAAATATTTAAAAAAAAGATCTGAGTAGAGAATCCCCGAGTTAAATCCCCAGTACCATAAAAACAAAAAACAAAAAAGATCTCTTAAGTAAGCCTTTGATGAATTCACTTCTAGTCTTCTAACATTGGTTTTTCCTTGACTGAGGAAAAATTTTTTCAAATATTTTCTCCTCGAGAAAACAGGACTTCTGGAAATGGAGTTGTGGCTCAGTGGTAGAGTGCTTGCCTAGCATGCATGAGGCCCTAGGTTCTATTCTCAGCACCCCCCACATACACATAAATAAAATAAAGGTCCATCAACAACTAAAAAAATATTAAAAAAAGAAAATAGGACTTCTGGGCTGGGCAAGGTGGAACATGCCTACAATCCCAGTTATTTGGGAAGATAAGGCAGGAGGATCACAAATTCAAGGCCCATCATGGCAACTCAGTGAGACCCTGTCTCAAAATTAAAAAGGCTGGGGATGTAACTCGGTGGTAGAGAACCCCTGGGTTCAGTCCTTGGTATTAAGAGAAGGGGAAAAAAAAGGAAGGAAAAATAAAAATGAGGCTTCTCTTGTATACAAATCTCTAGGGCTGCTAAGCAGTGGGTATAGACATTTTTCATAAGGCTGGACAGTGTCACTGGGTTCTGGTGCTACCCACAGGCCTCTTGGGATACAGCCAGGCTCCCTGGACTCCAGCCTCCACACAGTCAACTGAAAGGTTTGGAAATCTCTGAAGGGGAGGACTTTGCTGCCTTGGTTTTGTAACTCCTTCTGAATTTAGGTCCAGTCCCTAAGGGCATTACTCCCTGTGTTAGTTCTTCGTTTTTCACCCAGCCCCAGGGTTACAAACTAAGAACTGGCAAACATGGTGTTCTGCTCGTGGTAGGGGCATGCTGATGTTGGCATGAGGGCTTGCCAGGAGTGCCCTAGCAGCTGCCTCCTGATTCTTTTGCCCAATGACCTGGATTACCCCTGGGCCTCCCTTGCCCCATGTATAAAACTGAGAGGGCTGAACTTTGTTAAGGCCTCTCCACTTCAGATTTTTAGACTCCTCCCAAGCACATGGCTAGTATATCTCACTGTGTTATTCTGCCTATGTGTGCATTTTAATCCCATCTGAGGCCATTCTATTTCCAAACATATTCCTGAGCTTGAACTAGAGAAATGAATGAGTAAATCAAGTGGAAAAGGGAGAGAGTGACTTAGCAATTAGGCAACTAAATGGCCTCTGTATGAATAAGTGTAGAACACAAGGAGGCCTGGGAAGGAATGAGGGAGGGTCTGGCTGACCAGGGTCCCCTGGCCAGCAGGCTACAGACTGAGACTGCCTCTAGGTCTCCCTGGAAGACAGAAGGCCTTAGTTAAAATGTTGCCAGTCATGTGTCAGAGTAGAAGACAGACATGGAGTGCTAAAGGGACAGGCTGGACTCAGGGAGGTTCTAGGTGTGGGAAGAGGAAGAAAGCAGGAAATGTGTTTCAGGGGTTATAGTATTTTTCCTCCTCTCAAAGATGCCTCATCTGGTCCAGCAGGGCCATCACAGGTGGAAAATCCCAGCAAAGGTGGGGGAAGGAAGCAGACTAGACCTCAAGCTTCATTGGATTTCCCAAGTCTTTCCTCCCACCACTCCCGAAAGAAACTGAGGCTGAGTAAGGTGCCTCCTGGCATGGCCTCTGCAGAGCTGTCTATGGCCTTGTCCTGAGTGCCCCAAGCTGGGCAAACTAAACTGGCCCAGATAGACTGGAGTCAATGTCCTCAAAGTCCAAGCCAGGAATAATGTATGAATGTGATGCAAGGATAAGATGATCAGGTGGTATCTGGGGTTGCCAGACCCCAAGTAACCCTGGCTGGCCTTGAGGCCAGGTGGCTACAGAATGGACACAGACCAAGGTCGGGACAAGCTTTTCAGTTTGAAAATGTTGTATACAAACACATCACCTGATGTCTATGGGCTCCAGGATTTTTTTTTTTTTTTAATGTGCTTGTGTGATGCTAAGGTTGGAGGGAACCAGGGGTCATGCATGTTAGACAAGTGCTCTCCAAATCTCCAGTTCCCCAGGCTATTTGGGGGAGGGGATACTGAGAAGGAACCTAGTACCACTGAGTGATATCCCAATCCCTTTTTATTTATTCACTTATTTTTTGAGACAGAGTCTTGTTAATTTACCCAGGCTGGCCTTGAACATGCAATCCTCCTGCTTCAGCTGCCCAAGTTGCTAGGTTTACAGGCTTTACCTGGCTCCTCAGGCTATTTTTCTTCACACTGTCACTCCAGTCCTGGCCAGGGAATATATGGAGTCAAGAAGTGAGAGGCTTTGTAGTCATAATATGCCCCCTCCCCCCCCACCACTCAGCTAATACAGTATGCTCCAACCTGCTGCTTTTCACACAGGGAAGCCCATGTATTGAGAGCCTACTATGTGCAGCACTCTGGGCCTGGGATTTAACAGGACATGAGGGCAGATGAGGTCCAGGCACTTGGGGCAGTTTATTTATTTATTTATTTACTTGAATTTTTAATATATATATATATATATATAATTTAGTTTTCATGGACTTTATTTTTTTTTAATTTATATATGGTGCTGAGAATTGAACCCAGTACCTCACACATGCTAGTGCTCTACCACTGTGCTAAGACCCCATCCCCAGTTTTTATCTATTTGGGAGAGAACCATCATGAGCATATGCACAGATAAATGTGATTAGCATTACATTGTGACATACCCTTTGGAGAAAACAAAACAAGGTAACAAGACTTGCTAGTCAAAGTGTGATCTACAGACCAGCAGCATCTAATCATCCCAGGGCTCACCAGAAATACATATTCTTAAGCTCAGCCCAGGGCCTACCACATCGCAGCCTGGGAATGCCTAACTCCAAACATGGTTCTTTATTTTTTTTAAAATATTTATTTTTTAGTTGTAGTTGGACACAATACCTTTATTTCACTTATTTATTTTTATGTGGTGCTGAGGATCGAACTCATGGTCTCGCATGTGCGTGCGAGGTGAGCGCACTACTGCTGAGCCACAACCCCAGCACCCCCAAACATGGTTCTTTTTTTTCTTTTTTTAAAATATTTTTTAGTATTGACGGACCTTTATTTTATTCATTTATTTATATGCGGTGCTGAGAATTGAACCCAGTGCTTCACACATGTGAGGCAAGCACTCTACCACTGAGCCACAACCCCAGCGCCCCCAAACATGGTTCTTAAATGGCCAGGAAAGAAGAAACAACTGTGCTGAGACCTTAACATTCTTGGCTTCAAGAAGATTTGTCCTGCAGGCAGAAGGAATGGCAAGTGCTATCCATCACAAAGGATTCCTAAAGGGACAACTGACTCACTGCATGACCTTAAGTAAGACATTCAGCCTCAATCTCCTACCTGGAAAGCAGAGGAGTTGAACTACATAAAGAATCTTGCTAGGTGCATTGCACACTCCTTTTTTTGGGGGGTGGGGGGGTACCAGGTGTGCAGAGCGGTGACAGTGAATGGGAGAGCAGTATCTGAAATGGGTTCCCTGATAACTTCATGGCTGTGGCATGCCTGGTACCTGGGAAAATTTCTGTAAAAAGGTGCAGGATGACTAGTTGCTATGGCAATGTCCTCCATGAGAAGGCTCTGTGCTAGGGTCTTATCAGCCTCTACCTTGATCTCAGGCACACAGCTCCTGGGAATAAAGAAACTCTCTTGGCAGACAACCACAATGTTTCACCAGCTCTGCTGCTCCTCAGCCTGCACATAACACTGTGCTAAGACCCCATTTAAACAATGGACTTTCTTGAAAGCTACACAAAGCTCCTAACATAGCACACTGTAACTGTAGAAGGCAACTGGGGAATAAGCTGCTTAATGTTGCTAACTTTGTAACTTTCAGGAATACAAAGAATAATGCTTGCATAGTCTTTAATCTGATTAACGAGATAAATATATAATAAAGATTGCTGGCGTCTTTAGACC